GAGAGCTAAGGCGATAGATGTTTGATATAGGAAAGAAAAAGCAAACCACACCAGAACACCCGCCAGTCACCCACATAAAGCTGTACATTTATTTTTAAGTTTTAGTAAGAGTTTTACGGAACTTGAAACATAAAAAGTCATGTATCTGTCGAAAATTAGAGGTATTACTAGAGAGTAACATACGAAGACAAGACAGAGGAGAGCTAAAAGCGATAGATGTTTCATCGGACAAAAGGAGAAAACCCCACAAGAGCTCTTACAGCCGCCAAAACTGTTCATATACTCCTGGGAGAAAGAAGGAAAAGGAAGAAAAAATGGAAAAAAAGAAAGAAAAGAAAACAGAAGGACAGCTTTATTAGTCCCCTTATGAATATTTATCCTATTCTGACATGCTCAACAAATATATATATCAGCACCCCTTCAAATAATATCGATAACAAAACCCTCAGAGCTTACTTTTGAGCGGGGATATGCGCCCCACAAAATATGTTTAATATTTTGTTATTATCATTAATTTATTATTATAGTACCATGGTATTGCTGATAACAGCTGGTGGCGCTCTGGCTCTGCACAAGGGTTATTGTTTCGCCAAGGGCACTCTTCAACGACCACCCATGGAGTAGCTGTGGTCTCTTGGCGTTGCTTGACATTTTTGTGTGAACGATTTCCCAATCGACGTGATCACAATTGCTCCCAGTTGCTGTTTGGACTGTAGCAGAAGTTCATTCTGATAAACTGTTTAATAACAAAGCTGCAACACAAGCTCCCCCTCCCCGCCCCCCTCAATAAAATATCAGTAAAGGGTGGTTGGTGGGCGCTCTGGTGTCGTTTACTCCCTCTTTCCTATTAAATATCTTCCGCAAATCTCTCTCTTCCTTCTTTTCTGTGTATGTTACTTTTGAGTAACACCTCTAATCTTCGACGCTTTTATTATATATGACCTAATTGTGTTGCAAGTGCCATAAAAACGCATACTTCTAAAACTAAACAGAAAGGTCCTTTAATCGAGCTCCTCCTGATTGTTTTGCAAGTGGTGTAAAACTCTAATAAAAACTATACGAAGACAAGTTTCTAAGACAATTCCTCCTCCTCCTACACCCCTCCTCAAATGAGAACCACCACACCCCTAAAAACATCACCCACCCCCAAAAAATCAACAAACAAACAAACGAACAGAAAAAACCCCTACTCACACAAACACACACACACACAAAACAAAAACAAAAAGCATTAGAAAATAACGCAAAACAAAAACAACAAAAAAGGGGTGTCTCCCGCCCCCTTTCGTCTTTTCTACCTCTTTACCTCTTCTCTCTGCAAAAAGAAGTGGTTTGAAGTTTGAGGTTTCTGTACTCAGCCCCCCCCCTGTCCTGTGCCTGTGCGAGCGGCTCGCGTCGTGCGTGCTGCAGGGCGCTGGGTCAGGGGACAGGAAGCGGCCCATTGAGCTGAAGTAGGCTGGCGTCCTGTTGTGTGCTGCCTGCCCGCCCGCCTGCCTGCCTTCCCGCCCGGGCCTGGCATGACCACCACAACCACCACCTCCACCAGTGCCGGGCCACTTTAGCCGCCGCGCCGTCACCGACATAAGACGCGAGTGGTTGGAGGGTGATCTCTCTCTCAGTGGTGTGGTTTGCCCATTCTTTCCTAACCAACCCCTGTCGTCCTTCAATTTCTTCTTCTTTTATTTTCAGTTTGTTAACTCTCTTGTAACACCTTTAATCTTCGACACTTGTGTGACCTTATTGTGTTGCAAGTGCTGTAAAACTCGTACTGAAACAAAAGCGATATAAGTCATACACCACAACTCCTCACGGGAGGGGGGTGGGGGTGGTGTACTTTAGTGTTTGTTTGGATTTGTGAATTAATTTGGAATTGTGTGTGTGTGTGTGTGTGTGTGTGTGTGTGTGTGTGTG